GAGACATTCAGGAGCAAGGTTTCTGCAGCTTTCACCTTTTCATTCCCAAATCACACAGCCAAGCTGCCAACAGTAGCAGCTAATGGTCTGCCTTGAAGCTGAACACCAGGACAAGCTTTGTACTTGACCACTTTTTAACCTCCAATAATGAATCTGTGGAGAACCAGGATCACATTGTGTTTATTGATTGATTTCAATAACAGCCTGTAAGAACTTTCTCATTCAAATCCATCACCTGCTTTTTAAGGCTCCAGCTGGGTACCTCCTCTTTCATTGAGAATCACTACAAACTTGCAGGTGTTGCACAACAGCTGTACAACAAGTTTTCTAGACAAATGTGGGTCAGGTACAGTTCAAGAAATTGTATCATTGAGTCCATGAGGAGCCTGGACAGCAAAAATATTGCAATATCAGTGTTTCTGCTCCCAAAATCTACGTCAGGAACTTCAGCAGAAAAGCGACTCCTAGAACCCAAATTCCTCTGAATTTTTTTTTCAATGAAATGAAAGGAGGAAGTTCAAAGGCAAGAGCCACGTGCACCCAGGCTCGGAGGGGTGCACACCCAGCTGAGAAAGGATCAGCTCCTGTGTGCAGCTGTAACAGAGACTGGTTCAGCCAGTGCTCCACACCGAATGGGCACAGGCAGAGAAAAATGCAAATCCAACCCCAAATAAACAGACAAATCAGTCTGGAGGCTGAGTAGTCCTGTTCCACCCTAGTGCTGGCCTGGAAGCTCCCAGCACTTCTGGCGTGAAGCAGATGAGTTTCATTATGTAACAGTACTCATGTCATTAGAGACCTGGCAGTGGGTCACATGCAAGGTTTGGGGCTTAAATAATGCACAAAGGTGCAGTGCCACAATGCCTGATTGAGAGCTGGGCTGGCTTTCACCTGAGTGCACAGAACCTCCTCAGCACCTGGGGCTGGACAAGGCACTGTCCGGGAGGTGAAGCTCTGGCCAATTCCTGACATTCTCCTGTCAGTGCTGCTCACCACAGGGATACCTAAACCATGAATTCTGGCCTGCTTTTAAACCGATATTGGAGTAAAACCATTCAGTGCTCAGCTACACACCTGAACAAGCACCAAAGCAGCATTTATAAACAGCTGTAGCCTTCAACTAAGTATTCTGCAGTGGTTCTTTTAACAAGGTGCCTAGAAATAAATTACTTTCCATTTGAGTCAGAAAAAAAGGCGCTGTAAATCATGCAAATCCATCACTGTGTTTACCCCAGTTAGCTGAGCACAAACCAAACACAGACACTGGCACCACCAGAAGACCTTGACCAGGTGTGCCAATGTGGCTTTTATTAGACAAATTCTCCTCAAAAAAAAAAAAAAAACATTCCTGAGCAGTGAAACCGAGCTCGGTAACACTCAGAGCCCTTCGCCCTTCAGACCTGTCAGATGGGAAGTGCCCATTGCACAACTGGATCCAGACCCCTCCCAGCGCTGCAGCTTCACCCACGGGCAGGGAGCCCTCGCTGCCCCGGGAGGGAGCCCCGCGCTCCCGCTCCGCAGCCCGGCGCCTCCAGGAAGTCACCTCAGAGAAATTCAGAGCCATCACTCGGAAATAAACTATTAACGTGTGGTTCTGGCGCACCGAGAGGCAGAGCTGGGCTTGGGGAGAGGCCGGCGGACAGCGGAGCTGGCACCTGGGCACCTGCACTGCCACAGCTGCACTGCAGGCAGCCGCAGAGCTCCCACGTTTCGCTGCAATACGCGATTTTCCTTCCACAAAATGACATTCCGAGCGGGAACACCGGCAGATCGCTTTAGCCTGTCCTTAGAACTACAGAAGCTTTAAGACCATTCAAATAAATACATTAAGCGGCACACGGACACAGCTCGGCCACCTGCCCGCCTCACCCCCCGTGCCGGGCCGGGATTTCCTGCTGGCGCCGCTCCGGAGCCACCCGCGCCCGGCCCGCACCGCCCGGCCCGCCCGGGCACCGCGCCAGCCTCGCCCACCCCGCCGGGCACGGCCCGCGGGCACCGGCAAGGGCGGGATGCCCGGCCCCTCCCGGGAGCGCCCTTCGGGCAGCGCTCCCCGAGCCGGGCACCGCGGGACGAGCAGCGCCGAGCGCGCCCGGCCGCCCTCACGGAGGCACCGCGGGCAGGCCCGGCGCGGCTCCCCCGGCTCCGTCCCCGGGCGGCTCCCCCGGCGGAGCGAGGCAGCGACCCGCCCGCCCCCGCGCCCACCTGGAGATGCTCCTGGAAGCGGATGGGCAGGATCTGGGCCATGGCGGCGGCGGGGCGCTCCGGGCCGGGCCGGGCTCAGCGGTGCGGGCGGAGCGGGGCCGCGATGGCGGAGCGGGGCCGTGCGGAAGCTGCCCCCGCCGGCGGAAGGATACCGCCGCGGAAGGATACCCGCACCTGCCGCCGCCGGCCGGCCGCGCGGAGGAATCCCGGCGAGCGGCGCCAATAGGAGCGGCGGCTGTGATGCGCCGCCGGAAGGGACTATTTGGGGACGCATCACTCCCTCCCTCCCTTTCCCCGGCCTTTTTTTTTTTTGCCACATCATGCGACCGAGGGGCCGTGGCGTCACTTCCGGCCCGCGCGCGCGCGGTCACGTGGGGCGGGGCGGCGCGGCCGGGCAAGGTGACACCGGGGGGACACGGGGGGGACATGAGGGGACACCGGGAGTGGCACCAGTGGGACACCGGGGGAGCCCCTGGACCAACCCCGCCAGGGTGTCCCCGTCACCGGGATGGGAGGGATGTCCCCTCCTCGGGGACACTGCGGGGACAGGGATGTCCCCGTCACCAGGATGCGATGGATCCCACCTCCTCCTCCCAGGGTGTCCCCCTGTCATGGGGATGTGATGGAGCCACACCCCCGGAGGTGACACTGAGGGGATAAGGGTGTCCCTGTCACTGGGATTTGATGCATCCCCCATCCCCGGGGTGTCCCTGTTACCATGGATGGATCCCCCATCCTCGGGATGTCCCTGTGCCAGCATCTGATGGATTCCGTATCCTTAGAGCACCCCCGTCCCCATGATCTCATGATCTCATCCCCAGGGTGTCCCTGTCTCCAGGATCTGGTGGCTCTCCCATCCCCTGGTGTCCCTGTCCCCAGGATGTGATGGATTCCTCATCCTTAGAGCATCCCTGTGACTGGGATCTGATGGATTCCCCATCCTTGGAGCGTTCCTGTCCCCATGATCTCATGGATTCCTCTCCCTGTGGTGTCCCTGTCCCCAGGATCTGATGGATCCCCCATGCCCTGCTGTCCCTGTCCCCAGATCTCATGGATTCCTCTCCCCCTGCTGTCCCTGTCCCCATCCCTCCCCCCCAGGCTGCTCTCCCAGACCCTTCCCATGCCCCTGTTAATGAGTCCAGCACAGCAATGAAGCTCCTCCACACTTCCCTCTGTGTTTTATTAACTCCCACTTGACCTCCAGCACGTAAAACAGGTAAAAACTTAACTTTGTCCTGGGATCAGCAGCCAGAGCTGTGTGTGCTGTCACACTTGGCATGGCTGAAATCTTATTTTATTTAACAGCTTATTCTGAAATCTTATTTTATTTCACAGCTCACTGTTACTTCCCCAGACAATTTTTACTTTGTTTTAAATTTCCCATCTCCAAACCTCTGAGAGAAGCTCTGGAACACAGTGGGGGAAAAATCCCTCACTTGGAAAATGAAAAGAAAAAAAATATATATAAAAAAATCAGCATTAGGATCTGCCAAGTGATTTATAGCCCCAAGGAACAGTGGGCATTCTGTGTACTCATTTCAGGCCCACTGGGTGGTGCAGATGGCATTTGACTCATGAGGGGCTGTGACACTGCAAATATAAATCAAATTAAACAGCAAAACTCAGAGCAGAGGATGAGTCAAGACCAAGTGCTGCTGCTGCTCCAAAGCAGAAAGAACAAAACCCTTCCCCATCAATCACAGCAAGAGGAACAATTACCAGACCCAGCACTTTCTTTATGAGCAATAATATTGTAATATTAAAAAAAATTCCATGGTTTTGGAGGCAGTGCTGGAATGCTGGAGGTGAGGCAGAGGTGGGATGGTGGATGCTCTATTCAGGCTACAGCAATAAAACACAATCCAGCACTTGAACCAGTGCCCAGGGTGGCACAGAGCACACAGCTGAGGCAGGAAAAATCACAGCAAAGTTCTTCCAATTATTTGGAAATTCTTACCCAAACTGCTCACTCCAGCCCTGGAGCGTTTCAGGGTTATTATGGTGATAAAACAGAATTTCTTTATTGAGAAGGAAACAAACTTCATGATGACAAAGCACCACAGCTCCTTGCTCTTTCAGATGCTTAGGGAAAAACACTTTTATTTCCCTGTGTGTACCTGGTACACCACAGCAAGGAATGGAGGTGGGAAATGTCCCTTTGGATTTAATCCTGCAATTTTCCCTTTTGATTAATCCTGCAATCGTCCCTTTGGATTTTATCCTGAAATTTTCCCTTTGGATTCAATCCTGCATTTGTCCCTTTAGATTTAATCCTGCATTTGTCCCTTTGGATTTAATCCTGAAATTTTCCCTTTGGATTTAATCCTGCAGTTGTCCCTTTGGATTCAATACTGCAATTGTCCCTTTGGATCCAATCCTGCTGCTCCCACCACTACAAGAGCCCTTCCTGCACATTTTCCTGAGCATGAATTCTGTGTGACCACCATCAGAATAAAATGGGTATAAAATTACAGTTCCACTCCTTACAAAAATAAACCCCAAACGACCTTGAAGAAAAAATTCATTTATAACAGCTCTGAGAGCTCTTTAAGTCAAATAAATGCCAGAGAATTGGCACCACACTTGGTATCAGGGCTTCAGCCACAGCTGAGGCCATGAAATTGTTGCCACTGCCCTGCAGCAACACAAAGCTTGGGAAGCTTTCCCTGCAGGATGCAGCACAGGGAATTGAGTTTGTCCTCTTTGGCACAAGTTTCCCTGCACTCCTGTCAGTCCTTGGGCATTGTGCAAAGAGCCCAGAGCTGCACAAGCTGCCCCCAAGCAGAGTTACCCCAGAGTTAGCCCATTTCCTTCTCGGGGCCACTCAGAGCCTGAGCTCTTTGCTGCTTCCTCTGCAGGTAGCGAGCTCGGGCGTCCTGGATGGATTGCTCATCGTTCCTCCTCTCCATCTTCCCTGCAGAGCTCTCTGGGGCTCCTTCTGGGGAGAGAGGAGAGAAAGAAATGAAAATAAACTCGCTGTGTCAAACCCACCTCCCCTCCATTGTATTTGTGTTCCCCTCAGATGAAGGGAGGAATGATGAACCTGGCTCTGTGTTCTCAGAGGGCTGATTTATTGTTTTATGATGCTATATTATATTAAAGAATGCTGAACTAAACTGTACTAAAGAATACAGAAAGGATACTTACAAAATGCTAAAAAGATAATAATGAAAACTCTTTACAGAGTCCCAACACAGCTTGGCACTGATTGGCCATTGACTGAAAACAATTCACATCAGAAACAAATGAAACAATCTCCAAACACATTTCAAAGGAGCAAAACACAGGAGAAGCAAATCAGACAATTATTGTTTTCCTTTTTCTCTGAGCATTCTCAGCTTCCCAAGAGAAAAATCCTGGGCAAAGGGATTTTTCAGAGAATATGAATGTAACACCCCCCAGCATTACAAGTCCTCCTATTTGTTAAATACCAAAAAAAAAAAAAACAAACAAACAAACAAAAAAAAACCAACAAAATCTCTTTTTTTTTTTCCTCCCATGCAGCCATTTGAATGACTTCCAGAGAGGACAGACTGCACCACAGCAGGGAGGGAAAAAATTCAAAATAAAATCACACCTTAGCTCCCATGTCAATGTTTGCAGCTGGGCTCATCTCATCCCCAAATCTTGCTTTTTATTGAGCAGAGAATATGCAACCTGTGTTCTGCACACCCATTTCTCCTCTGAACTGCACATCCCAAACTCAGTACAGGAAAAAACACTGGGATAAACTATCTTTAAAAAATTTCCGGAGGCAGGAGGGAGGGAGAGGAAAACATGAAGATAAGGGAGTGAAAAAAGTCAATATTGCAGCTCAGGCACCATCAGAAATGCACATTCCCCCACAGCACTGAGACCTTGGGACTGCTTCTCACAGAAGGGAAGACAAGCAGAAAATATTTTCAGTCTAAAAAAACAATAAAAAAGAAAATCAAAGGCTCTGAGAGCCTAAAATCTGTGTGAGTGAAGCAGCTACTGCAGCCTGGTCCTGGGGGCTGGTAAGAGAAGAATGAGCTTAAATCAGCACCCCTTGTTACAATAATTCTAATTATTATGTCTAATCAGCTATTCAGCCACCTATTTTCATGAAGGTGCCAGAAATACAACATCTGTAAGGTCAAAATTAAACTGCAGTTAATTGGGAATTGCCTGATGAAGCCATAACATGAAGGGGGACACAGAGAATGTTTCCTTCGGATAAACTGATGAGGCTCTTCTGCATTATTTATAACCAAATGAAATTGATGTTTAAAATGGTGGATTTATACAATAATGCAGGGCAGAGGGAGATGCTGGCCTGAGCACAAGTGTGCATTTTTGCCTTTGTTAAGGAAATGGAAGAGAATCTGTGTTTAGTGTACAATAAATGGATGCTTTGGAAGGGGCAGCTCAGGAGTAAAGAGGCCCTTTGGATACTTGGCTGCTTTAGGAACCTGCTGACAGGAGAATCTCAGGAATGCCAAGCAGCCAGATCAGTCAGCAGGCACAGTTCTAATTAACACTGACTATTCACACACTGGCATTAAATTCATTGTCAGAATCAGATACCCACCAAAATATGAGATTTTTTCTTCTCTGTCTATTGCTGGGTGAGGGTTTTGATAATTTTTTTCCTTCCCTCTGCACCACAGCTCTCAGGACTTTTCCCAGGACATCATTATTTGGGCATCAATGGCTAAATACCCTTCACAAACTCAAACAACCAGCCTCAAAATGCTTTTATTCAACTCTGCTCAAAGAAACCAAAAGGGGGGAGCGTGGCAAGATGGATTGCAGATCTGTGAGGAGAATAAAACAACCACAACTACATCAAACAAATTAACACTTTCTAGCCCAGAACGTGCCATAATAAACACACAGGGCTCCAAACAACAATGAAAACTTCAGTGATATTTTTGCTCGATGTCTGGGAGAAATGATGAGGAGGACTCCATCCTATCAGAAGGCTAATTAATTACTTGATTATAGTATATTATTATATATCATATTACATCTAAACTGAATCTGCCAAGCACTCCACTGCACAGAATCTTGTGACTGTCCCAACACACACACCTGGATTCAACTGGTCAGTGAATCAAAACACACCAGAATCCAATTACCAATTCCACTTGTGAACAACACAAGAGCAGCAAATAAAATAAGAATTGTTTTTTCTTTCTCTGAGGTTCAGATAATATGAAACCCAGGAATATTCTTGGGAAGAATTGTGCCTTGCTTTTCTCTGTGAGGAGAAACGCAGCGACAGAAAACCACACACACACACAGAGATGAGCACAGTGCTTACCAAAGAGCCTTTTGAGCTCCTCCCTCTGCTTCCACCTGGTTATTTCCTCCTCAGTCACCTCCTCCCTGGCCACACTGCTGAGCTCGTAGGCATCCACCTGGTGCAGCCTGGGCAGCAGCTCCCGGAGCCACTCGTAGCGCACGGGGCACACGGTGCGCACGTAGATCTTGGAGGTGACGGCCACGTCGTGGAAGATGATCCACTCCAGCAGGGTCTCCTGGTTGTACAGCTGAAAAATTCAAAGGTTGGTTTGAATTTTCACAGCCCCACCTGCAGCAGAATGGCAGTGGTTGGGATGTGAGGGGGTGTTAGCAGGTTTTAGGGTTTTAGAATTGCCCAAAAAGGCAGAGGGAAGGTCCAGCCTGTGTCACTCCCACCTCACAACCCAAACCTTGACCAAGCCTGAGGAATGAACACTGCAGCCCAAAGCAAGCACCAGGGAGAGTTTAAGGACCTGCCCCTCATTCCTTTTGGAGATGCTTTTCTGCTTTATCAGGACTTTGGGAACTCACTGTGGATGAAGGGTGGATGTAGACTATGCTGCCATGCCCGTCCATGGTGCAGAATGTCCTGGCTGCAGATCTGAAAAAAAAAAAGAATTAAAAAATAAATTAAAAAAAAACCAACAACAAAACAAAACACACATTGCTGTGATTATACACCAACACTGAGCTGAACAAATCAGCAGCAGCACAGAAAAAAGTTCTCAAATATTCACCTAGAGGAAGGTGCTTCCAGAGCTAAACTGTAAAAATCCATTTAAAGAGTGAAACACAATAAATCTCATTTACCACAGCAGCACTGCAGGTGTAACACCACAATAACAACAGGCTTTGGCAGTGAAGCCTTTGATAACTGGAGATTTCCAAGCCCTTCAGTGAATATCTGGAACCACTCTCAGCTGCTGAGTTCATTTCACAGACAGAACAATGACATTCCTGGGAAGCTGTCCTTGGAATGAAGACAGCCAAGAGCAGAAGTTCCAGCCCCTTGCAGAAACATCTCCTTCACCTGCAGTTACTACTTTGCTGCTTTTACCAACATAAAACCACACTTTAAAGCAATTTGCATGATTTCTTTTCCATTCAGTTCTCCAAACTTCACTCCTTACCTCCTAGCAACATTAACGAAGTATCCTGCACACAGGCATCTTCTCAGGATTTCAGTTCTGGAGCCTTCAAATGTCTCCTTAGGGAAGTCTGGCAGCTGGGAAAAGAAAAAGCAACATGAATCAGGATGGATCTTCAAGAAAAAGCACTTAAACCTCCTCCATCCCATGGATTCTAAACTCTGGACAGAAACCATGAGGAAAGGAGGAAAACTCTCCTTCTTGCCCATTACCACCACTGGACCTGAGGCACACAAGCAAGATAAAAAATATTTAAGTGGTTTATTTTCTACTGGAGGAATGCAGCAGCCACCTGGCAAAGGCTCAGCACCCACCACATCTCTTAAACATAAGTTTATACAGCTCAAACATGCCCAGAAATGTTATTTTTTTTTACCTGTTTCAGTTTAGTGGTTATTTCCCGCAGCTGCCTTTCCACACTAAAAGCAGATTTCACAGCTCTCCAATGGATCCAGTATTTCTGGCACCAGGCTGAAGGAGACTTGCTGAGAACAGGAATATTTGAATTATAAAGAAGCCCTTTGTCAGCTGCTTGCAAACAAATTTGCCTCTATTTTATTGTTATGGTCACACAAAAGCAAAAACCTACACAGGCAGATACTTGGTGGGGTTAAATAAAAAGTGTCTGGATGGAAATTACAGATCACAACAAGGAATAAATCTGAAATCAGGAGTGAGCACAGAGATGTGTAACTGCAGCACTCCTGAAAATTGGGAGTTATGAGCAATGCCAAACCACTGAGTGTAAGGGAGAATTCCATACCTTGCTTTGCACTGTTCAAAAATATTTAAGAGGGTTGCAAAGTCATTGCATCCTCCCACTTGAGAGGCAAGTTCCTGGTGCTGAAGCTCAGCCTCCTTCTGCTTCTGAGGATCACCTGAGGAATAAGTTATACCTCAAAGTCATTTTTGTTCATCACTACCTAATTTTCTGTTTGTTTTTGGCAGTTTTGGCTCTCTATTGCTGTTATTTTTAGCTTTGTCTCTCCTTCCACAGCTGCATTTACAGTTGTTCCTCCTTCCACTACTGCTGAACAAGAGCACATAGATGCTATTAAACCCATGATTAATCTCATCAGTCAGCAGCAGGGATGAAGAATTCCAGTCTCTAAGCAAGTATTGCTCACTCACAACCCATCCAGAGGCTGACAGGGAAAGATAAAGGAACAAACAAACAGCTCACAGGGATCAAGAGAGGAAAAACAAGACTGTTGAACCCACCCACCACAGCACCCTCTAATCTACTGAGCTCAGCTTTTTCCTACTGCCACAGCAGTGAGATCTTAAAATAAAGATAAAACCAGTGGAACTGTGAGTTTAGTGGGAATTAACCTTCAACAAATGCAACATTTCCAGAGTGTTCTCTCAGGTTTTAACACTCAGATCTGATTTCTCCTTCAGCACAAGCCATTCCCCCTGGGAGAGGGAGGCAGAAGCGGAGGAAGAGGAGCCCCCACCTGGGCGGATGAAGACGTTTTCCACTGACAGCATGGCTGCAATGGGGAGCAGCAGATCCTCACAGCCCAGGGAAGCAGCTTTAATCACAGCACAGGACAGGTTGGGAGGGAGGGGAAACTGCACCAGGAATTCTCCCAGTCTGGTCACATGGCCTCTCCTGAAGGAGGAAAAAAATTTTTTATATATATATATATATATATATATATATATACATACATACATACATATATATATATACATACATATATATATATACATACATATATATACACACATACATACATATATATATACATACACACACACATATATATATACATACACATATATATACATACATATATATAGATACACATACATACATACACACATACATACAGGAAAGATACATATATTTATATATAAAATATTTACAGGAAATATATATTTATATAATATATATGGTTTTATATGTTTACAGGAAATATATATATTTATATATTATATATACTTTAATATATTTTCTATATTTATTAGAAATTTTATTATACATTTTATTATACATTTTATAATATATATTATTATATATAAATATATATTTACAGGAAAATTAAATATATTTTTATATATGATAAATTTTAAAATATATTTTCTATATATTATTATGCATCTCATTATATATAAATATATATTTACAGGAAATATATATTTATATATTCATATTATATAAATTTATATATATTTACAGGGAAAAAGTATATATTTTTATATATTATATATGTTTTAATATATTTTCTATACTTCATTATATATTTTATTATACATTCTGTTATACATATCTCATCATATATCTCATCATATATCTCATCATATATCTCATCATATATCTCATCTCATTATATATCTCATTATATATCTCATTATATATCTCATTATATATCTCACTATATATCTCACTATATATCTCACTATATATCTCACTATATCTATTTTTATATACACAGATTCAATGCAATGATGTTTAAATGTGAATTGGGTAAGCAGCATTTCCCTCTGACTGTGAGTGCCCACACAGGTGCTGGGACATGCAGAAGTGTCACCAGCAATAAAATAATCCACATTTCTCCAGCTTGCTGTGTCTGCTCCATGGCAGGCACAGCCAGCTTTGGGTTTGGTTTTTTTCATTATTTCCAAGAAGAATTCCTGGAAGTTTAGGATAAGATCTCATTTCCTGCCTGAGCTCTTGGACGGAGCTCCCAGGCAGAGCCTGAGCAGTCTGGGGTGCAGAGCTGAGGGCACTGAGGAGCTCCAGGACAATGTTCAGAACCTGATTTTTATCTCCCAAACCCCAAACCCTGCTCCAGCCCTGCTTTTGCAGACAGTCCATTAAACCCCAGGAAACTTCCTGGAGGTTAAATAAGGAAACATTCTGCATCCTTTAGTCCACACAAAACATCAATTTAAGCCTTAGATTTTAAATTCTTGCAGTGAAACCTTTTGGTTTTTACCTGTCAATAGCATTGCACTGGTAAAGTTCCTTCAGAGCTTCCAAAATGTGTCTTTCCTCAGGGGGGTCCAAATAGGGAAACCTAGGGATAAAAATGAAGTAGATCTGTTAATTTCCTATTTATGAAAATAATTTTTAAATATTTAAAATTTTATTTTAAACATATTTTAGTAAACTTTATTTATTATTTTTACATTTTTAAATTTAAAATTTATTTTCTTTATTTTAAATTTTTAAATATTTATTAAAATAAATTTTAAACCTCCCCAATGCATGTCTTCCAACCAAAATTAGATAATCATAATAATTTTCTGTGTGCTCCTGTGCAATGTCCAGCTGAGGAATTTCTGATAACAAATCCCATGGCACACACTAAACTGCATTTTCTACTCTTTTATGGTCTTAGAACTAAAAAATTCCAGAGAGATGAAACTTTTTGGGTATAAAATGCAGTACTTTGAGGATTTGAAGTATTTAAAGGTGTAAAACCCAGTATTTTAAGGGTTTTAAGAACTTAATTATGTAAAAAACAGTATTTTAAGGATGCTAAGTATTTAAAGGTATAAAACCCAGTATTTTAAAAACTATGAGTATTTCAAGGTGTAAAAAACAGTATCTTAATGATGTTAAGTATTTAAAGGTATAAAACCCAGTATTTTAAGGATTTTAAGCATTTAAAGATATAAAAACTAGTATCTTAAGGATTTTAAGTACTTAAAAGAACACTAAAAAAAGTATTTTCAGGATTTTAAGTATTTAAAGGTCTAAAAACCAGTATTTTAAGAATTTTAAAGGTATAAAAAGCAGTATTTTAAGAACTGTGAGTATTTAAAGATATAAAACTCAGTATTTGAAGGATTTCAAGTATTTAAAGGTATAAAAACCAGTATTTTAAATATTTAAATGCGTAAAAACCAGTATTTTAAGGATGTTAAATATTTAAAGGTCTAAACCCCAGTATCTTAAGGACTTTAAGCATTTAAAGACATAAAACCCAGTATTTTGAGGATTTTAAGTATTTAAGTATATAATTTTTTATGGATTTTATGGATTTAAAGGAACGCTACAAACGAACACATTTAATTTGGGCGAGATGGGAGTTTTGGCAGAGCCTGATGCTGGGGCTGCAGGCTGAAATGGAGAGGAGAGCAGCAGCAAAGCTGATTGCAGTGTCCCACTTGGCTGGGGCCCTAATCCTGCCCCTGCCCCTCCTGGGGCGGGATAATCCCCCTGCACTGCAGGGAGCTCACCTGATGACATCGTGCACGGAAAGGCATTTCAAGGTGAGGATCACAGATGTCAGGCTGGTCCTCCTGATCTCTGGCACGGTGTGCTGGGGCATGCACTGCTCCCAGAACTCCCTGCTGTACAACCCAAAACTCTTCCCCGACGACGTCCGGCCCGCGCGCCCGGCTCGCTGCTTGGCTTCGCTCCTGCCCCAAAAAAAAACCAACATTGAAACATTTAATCTCTTCTGGTACCACCCAAACAGGACAAAATGTTTCTCTTTATAGATGGAAGAGGTATTCTTGCACTGAAAGATCCAGCTGTGCAAGAAATAAAAAACAATTTCTGCGCATTTTTTGGATGCTGTAGTATTCAGCCAGCCCAGCTCAGACAACGCCAACTCCTCCTAAATATTTTTAGGACTGAATATTTTTAGAACTTTTAGGAAGTTGCATATCCTGAATTGCTTTTTACTTGGTTTTAAATTGCTCAGGTGTGCTGGGGCATGCACTGCTCCCAGAACTCCCTGCTGTGCAACCCAAAACTCTTCCCCGACGACGTCCGGCCCGCGCGCCCGGCTCGCTGCTTGGCTTCACTCCTGCCCAAAAAAAATCAATATTCAAACCTTTCATCCCTTCTGGTAGCCCCCAAACAGGCACAAAATGTCTCTCTTTACAGATGGAACAAGTATTCCTGCACAGCAGCTGAAAAATCCAGTTGTGCAAGAAATAAAGAAGAATTTTTGCGCGTTTTTTGGATGCTGTCGTATTCAGCCAGCACTGCGCAGAACTCAAGACAATGCCAATTCCTCCTAAATATCTGTAACTTTTAGGAAATTGCATACCCTGAACTGCTTTTCACTTGGTTTTAAATTAGTTAATTAAAACCAATTGAAGTGGTTTTTAAACCTTAAAATGGTTTTTAAACCTTAAGGTGTTTTTAAATCTTAAAGTGGTTTCAAACCGTAAAGTGGTTTTTAAACCCTTAAGTGATTTTAAACCTTACAATGGTTTTTAAAACTTAAAGTAGTTTTAAACCTCAAAGTGGTTTTTAAACCTTAAAGTGGCTTTAAACCTTAAAATGGTTTTTAAATCTTAGTTTTTAAACTTTAAAGTGGTTTTAAACCTTACAATGGTTTTTAAACCTTAAAGTGGTTTTTAATCCTTAAAATGATTTTTAAATCTTAAATTGTTTTCAAACTTTAAAGTGGTTTTAAAACCTTGAAGTGGTTTTAAATCATGGGGCGTTGAGGTTGCTGCCTAACTTTTTATTTATTTTTTTTAACACAGAGCATCATTGCCAGAGCAGCTCCCAGTAACAAGTGAGTGACATTTTTCACTTACTTTGAGATGGGAACCACCTCCAGGATGTCCAAACCCACTCTGGGATTATGGTTCAGCTGCTTCACAAAGCCACTGTCCACCACATATCTGAAATAAACAATCCAGAGAGGTAAAAACCAGGGCTCAGCAGGGAACTGACACATGGATTTAATTTTATAAAACACATTTATTCTACCTAGACCCTGGTTATTCAGTAGATTTGACTTCAAAATAGATTCAAAAATATTGGTGATCACTAAGACTACAATAACATCAATAATTTTCTTACTACATACTCAAAAAAAGGCAATAGTAGCAGAATAAATGTGTTTTTTCAAACCCACACCTTTCTGAATTATTCCCTCTGCTATGAGAGACAGAAATCAATACCTGACTCCTTCAATGGTCAGAGATGTTGCAGCAATGTTTGTGGAGACCACACATTTTCTGATGCCTCTGGGGGCTGGCAAAAATATCCTTTTCTGTTGATCTAAAATGACAGAAGATGATGACGTAAAATAAGATGACAAAATAAAATAAAATAAAATAAAGCAATATAAAAAGAAACAATATCAAATAAAGCAATGCACAATTAAGCAAAATAAAACATAAAGTAAAGTAAAATAAAGTATAAAGTAAAATAAAGTATAAAGTGAAATAAAGTAAAATAAAGTCAAGTAAAATACAGTAAAATAAAGTAAAGTAAAGTAAAAAAATAAAATAAAATAAAAAAATAAAATAAAATAATAAAATAAGATAAAATAAAATATGAAGTCATCTGGGCTTTCAGTTACTCAACATCCCCTTCCTAACTGAGGATCTTGAAGTCATATCCAGACTTGGATCTGGATTTTGACTGGAGGCTCAAGCAGAGAAGGCTGAAGTTTGATTTAGTTCATGATGGCCACAATAAAACCCCACCCCAAAGGGGTCCATTCCCACCCTTTTCCCAGCCCAAACAGACAATCTGATGAGGATGATGTCCATAACAAGCCCTGCAGCTCAGACTGCTGTGATTAAGTGAGATTTTGGCTCTGACCTGTGGACATGGAGCCGTAGAGGGGCAGGATGAGCAGCCCCTCCACAGCGCGGTCGTGCACCTCGTAGCGGTAATCGATGGACTCTGCTCTCTTGAAAAGCACATCACAAGCTCTCTCTATCTCATTCTGCCCTAAAAGACACACAAGAGCATTTCAGTCACCTAATTAGCTACAGCTCTGCCTTCCTGGTTTGCAACACCTTCAAAAAAAATTGTTTTGTCAATATGCCAACATCATTAAAATAAGGAATTAAATGAGAAGGTTTGGGAGGTGACATCCAACCTTTCCACAGGGCCTACCACCAAGGATTTGCCTTTAAAATTAGATACCTTTTTATTAGATATTAATATTAGATATTAGATATGGGCCAGGCCCATGCACTGATGTAGGATTTGACAGCTAAAATAATTTATCATTAAAATAAGGAATTAGTGAGAGGGGGTTTGGGAGGTGACATCCAACCTTTCCACAGGGCCTACCACCAAGGATTTGCCTTTAAAATTAGATACCTTTTTATTAGATATTAATATTAGATATTAGATATGGGCCTGGCCCATGCACTGATGTAGGATTTTACAGCTAAAATAATTCATCATTAAAATGAGGAATTAGTGAGAGGGGGTTTGGGAGGTGACACCCAGCCTTTCCACAGGGCCTCCCACCAAGGATTTGCCTTAAAAGATTAGATATCTCTTTATTAGATATTAGATAATAGTATTGGCCCTGACCTATGCATTGATGTAGGACTTTACAGCTAAAATAATTAATCATTAAAATAAGGAACTAGTGAGAGGGAGTTTGGGAGGTGACACCCAGCCTTTCCACAGGACCTCCCACCAAGGATTTGCCTTAAAAGATTAGATATCTTTTTATTAGATATTAACATTTATATCAGATATGGGCCTGGCCCATGCATTGATGTAGGATTTTACAGCTGAAGTAATTCTTCCTCCCTGAGTTAACAACAAACTAAACCATGCAGACAACACAGAGTCAATCTGGTTATTCCTAAAACACTCTGAAATTACCATTGCACAGGACTTTGTGCATCAACTGCACCTTTCCCTTCTCACTGCTCTGGGAGACACCAGGCAGGCTCTGGAAGCTTTTCTGCTTTGCTGGCACTGCCATAATTCACCCAGGAAAATCCTCACCTGTGAGGAAAACCAGGATGTCACCTTCTGGTTCATTTAAGTGAACATCCAGGGCGACCTTCACAGCCTGGAACAAACAACAAACAAGCCAAAATCAGTTGAAATCCCATTTAATTCACCATCCCAACTGATCCTCCCCTGCTTCCTGCAGAGATGCTGAGAACACAACACAGCAGCTCATTCCTCCAGGTGAAAAATACCCCAAAAGCAGAGAAAACAAACCTCTGTGACATAGGCAGAGCTGCCCACATCCCTGGGGCTCAGCAGGTTGCAGAATATCTCCTTGACAGGGTAACTCCTGCCTGGAATGTGCAGCACTGAGCAGTGCCCAAAGAACTCTGAGAGCTTCTCCACCTCCAGGGTGGCTGACATCACCACCACCTTCATGTCTGTCCTCCTGCCTGCTGGCTTCTCCTGCAGGAACAGCTTCTTCAGCAAACCAAATAAAATATCCTGGCAGAAAAACAGGAAAAGCTGATTTTAATACCCTGGTTTTCTTAGAAGAGCCTGAAAAACTTGGAAATTTGATGATTTTATCCCATTGATAGAGTGAAAATCACAAATTCCAGGCCTAAGCACTCTGAAGAAAACACACATTTGGCCTGGACTTTCTGATTTCTAGAGTTTAATGATTTTTTTACCAGTTCTCCTCACAGCACCAGTGTAACTCAAACCCCTTTGTTTTTCATTTTTACACTCTCTTGGTCAAGTCATTGGTGAGAAGTTACCTCAGCCCCATTTTTCACCCCATTTTCCAGCCATGTCCCCTGACTGTGTGTGCACCCTTCCTTGCTTTTATTTATTGCTATGACGTCAGCAAGTTTATTTTCCTCTGTGCTGCTCTGAATCACAAATCTGCTCCTTCCACCACTTCAGCTCAGTTATTTGCCATTCCCTCAGATGCCTGAGGGCAAACTGGGATTCAGGAGATTATTTTTTCTTTTTCCAGCTGGACAGGGAGATGGTTTGCTGGAGCAGGAGGTTGTCTGACACACAGCACAATCTCCTGAGGTCTCAGTGACCTCAATGTCCCTTTGCTGGCCACACAAGGGTCAGGGTGACCTCTGAGAGCTTTTGGGACTCAGGTCTAGATGCTTCCATGGACCCAACAGCCATAATCTCTCTGCACAGTCACATACACACCCTAAAAAACATTGGACAAGACAGGTCTTTGGGCTTTTTTTGGTGTATTTTGTGTTGGTAGTATTCTAGAAAGTTCTGACTTCAAACTCCTGGGAATTTTGGGAGAGTATTCAACAGCCAGCAAAGTTTTAACTGCATTTAAATGCAACAACTACAAAAATTCCAACACTATTAGAGGCTACATCTTATTTTCAATTTGTGCAGCACGGACCGAACAAAGCAGCAAAAGGACAAAGCACATCCATGGAAAGTCAGGCCAAACCCCTCGGGGATCGTGCTGAAGTGAAAGGAAGGGATAAACAGAGCACAGAAAAGGAGAAACAGTGACCCAAAACCCAGCTATGAGTGACACTCACAGTGCTGAGGCTCCTCTCGTGGGCTTCATCCAAGATGATGATGCTGTACTTGCTGAGCAGGGGGTCAGCCAGGATGTGCCTCAGCAGGCACCCGTCAGTCATGTACCTGATGGCAGTGTCCTGCAAGGGCACCCACACAGTCACTGCCAGCCTGGCCTTTCATCTCAAAGCAAACACTACTGCACATTTGTCCAGCACACCACAAGGATTTTCCTTAAAAGATAGCTAAGGGCCTGGCCCATGCATTGATATAGGATTTTACAGCTAAAATCATTCTCATTCTGCTCATGCACAGCAGCACAGGTGCTTGGCAATGTTCCACCTGCAAGGTGCCCAAAAATCTCCTTCAAATGAGCCAGGGGACACCAACAGCCCCTTCCCAAAGCTCTGAGACAGTCCCCAGCCCCCTGGGTGACCCTGGCCCACCCCCAGAGCAGCCCCCAGCCCCCCGGGTGACCCTGGCGCATCCCTGGGCACCACAAGGATTTTCCTTAAAATATTTAAGGAAATATTTAAGGGCCTGGCCCATGTCTTGATGTAGGATTTTGCAGCTAAAATAATTCTTATTGTGCTCATGCACAGCACCACAAGGGGTGCTCGGCAACCTACAAGGTGCCCAAAAACCTCCCTCAAATGAGCCAGGGGACACCAACAGCCCCTTCCCAAAGCCCTGGGACAGCCCCCAGCCCCCCGGGTGACCCTGGCCCACCCCCCGAGCAGCCCCCAGGTCCCACCTCGCAGGTGCAGTCGTCGAATCGCACCTGGTACCCCACGAGGGTGCCCAGGGCACAGCCCATCTCCTCGGCCACCCTCTGTGCCACCGACACGGTGGCCACGCGCCGGGGCTGGGTCACACCGATGGCTCCGTGCTCGGCCAGCCCTGGGGGGACACAGAGTGAAAAACACCAATCGCTTCTTTTCAATATTTTAAAAATTTAATAGTGATAAAATGCTTATAAAAATAGTAATGTAGAGAAATAATAATTTGGATAATTGGGATTAGGACAATATGAGACAATAGAAATAAAGAGTTATGGACAGTCCAGGTACTTCTTTCTGGGCAAAATAAGCCTGAAAAAGGACACAGTTAACAGAGGATTAACCCTTAAAAACAATAACTTGTTGCATATTCATACAGCTCATACATGATGCATAAATTCCATTCAAACACAGGATTCTGTCTGGGCAGTGTCAGCTTCTTCCTCTGAATCCTAACAGCGCCTTTGAGACAGGAAGAAGTTAATTTCTTCTGATCATGGGGCAATAAATTCTTTTTCTCTGAAAGATTCAGGTGTCCTGTGGCTGCTATCTCACTGCCAGTCCTTTCTTTAAAAAAGTATTCTACATAGCACAGTTTCTATTTTAACACTTTGTTGCAACCTAAAACTATATTTACCACACTACTTAAGAGACTTAATACAGCATTACTTTATAACACAGCACATATAACATTTATTTGAATATTTGGAAAAAGCCAATCATAAAAATACGCATTTTTCACAGAAGGGACATTAAAGATCATCTCGTTCCACCTCCTCTTGGAACATCTTCCACTATGACAAGTTGCTGTGAGTCTTCTCCAGCCCTGGATGCACCCAGGGATGGGGCAGATTCCCTGGGCAGCCTGTGCCAGACCCTCCCATCCTCATAGGGAGCAATTCCTTCCCAATATCCCACCTGACCCTCCCATCCTCATAGGGAGCAATTCCTTCCCAATATCCCACCTGACTCTGCTCTCTGGCAATGGGAAACCATTCCCTGTGTCCTGTCACTCCAGGCTCCTTCAGGCTCTAAAATCACCCCTGGAGCCTCCTCCAGCCTGAACACCCTCAGTGATTGTGGCACATTGGGTTGTGCTGCTCCAGGTCACTTTATAACACGTACCCACAGTTTGGTTTTTTTTATTTAAAAGGTTTAACCGAGCCACCTCCTCTCACCACTTCCCAGCCTGAAGCTGCGTCACCCGTGAGGGGACAGGGGCACAGCCGGATGAGTTTATCGGCGCTCGTGTCCCACACCCGCAGCCCGCGGAGCGGCGGGGGGGGGGGGTTCCGTTACCTGCCTCGTAGAGGTACCTGGGCAGCTGCGTGCTTTTACCGCTGCCCGTCTCGCCGGTGACGATGAGGAAGGGCCGCTCCCTCACGGCCTCCACCAGCTCTCGGCGGGAGCGGCGGATGGGCAGGACGGGGCTGTCCATGGCGGCTCCCAGGGCTCACCTGGGGCTCTCCTGGAGCTCCCCTGCCTCACCTGAGGCCCCGCCCACGCGCGCGCCCGGCGGGAACCCCCCGTGCGCGCCCCCGCGCCCCACCGGTGCCGCGCGCATGCGCGCCACGCCCCCAATTCCCCGCCTCCACGTTAAGCCACGCCCCCACGCGACTTCCCGCCTCTTCCGTAGGCCACGCCCCCCCGCTCTCCCCTCAAGCCCTCGCGGCGCCTCAGAGTCACGGAATTGCTCAAAAAATGATAAAAATCACCAAATTACAAAGCGCGAAGGGTTGGTAGGACCTCGAAATCAATGATCCCACCAGATCAGGCTGCTCAGATATATTTTGTGACAAAACTTGAGCCTTGAGTCGACACGCAAATGTCCTGATGGAACGACCCTGATTAGGAAAACACATTCTAAAATCTAAGGGAGAAGAAACCATCTCGAATTCTGTTATAAATAATTTCCATAGGTCAGCTCAGTGTCATTTGTGTTGCATTAAAATAATACTCTCTTTCCATAGGTCAGCTAAGTGTCATACTGTGTTACATTAGGCTGTTACACAATATTGAACAAAACACAATTGTACACATACAGAAAATAGTAAAATATTGATAAACAAACCTGCTGCACTACAACTTCTTCCTTGAGAGAAAAAAAGTTCCTTATGTTGGATCTTTTTATACTTTGAAGGCTAATCAACAAGAGACGAAATTCAATCTCTGAAACAGAGAGCAGCCAACAAGCTCTAAGTGATGTGTTAGAAAAAACAAATTACTTGGTAGAATTTTAAAAGTTTAGGGCTGGATATGCTCCAGTGATCCCAGACTTAGGGGCAGCTTAACAAAGCTGTGGGAAAAAAAGGATACCCTTGGTAGTGGGCACAAAAAATGCAGAATTTAGGGGACATCTGGCAGAACTGCTAAGATGTGGAAGAAACTGATAAACCCAAGTCAGCTCCAAGTGGGTAAAGGGTAATTCTGTTAATTCTGTGACCACCGACCCAAGAAATCCACTGACCCCAAATAGAAAGACTCAGCACGGTGCTAATTAGCGTCAGAAGCAAATCATTAACCGGTAGAAGATAGACTACTAATTAACAAGTGGACTGTGTGACTGGCAGTAAATGAACACTAATTCCTTTGTGTGCTAAAACGTGTAAACAGTAAAAAGTTTTGATGGTTGGGCTGCCTGCTCTGTGAGGTTCACCCAGGATTGGCAAGGCTGAAATAAATAACCAATGTCCCTCTGGTATGTGCAGGTATCGCTGTGTTGTGCTCCGGGTAACAAATGTGATTTTTAAAGATAATAATAACCCCAAACTCGCTGTGATGAACAAATGAAGGCGCTGCTGCTCCGCCTGTGAGTTCACAGCCGGCCTGAAGGTGGCATGCACAGAACACTGAACACACACCAGCCACAGTCCAGTCCCCTTGCTTTCCCCAAAATGTGATTTTTATGGTGAATTTTGCCCATAGCTCAGTGCTTTCTCCCCTCACACGCTGTTTTTCACCCTCCATTGGGCTCTATCAGTGAAAAGAAGCACACAGTAAATTTGGTGTCACACCAGGAGCAAATTCAGGCCACCACCCACTGAGTCTGGTTATCCCAAATTCCCTCAATTTTTGCCTCTGGCACAATGGGAGAAATATTTCCCCACAAGGAACATGCACTCTGAGGCTTGGAAAATATTCTATCAGTTCCATCATTTAGCTTTGTCTAACCTACAAATAATTGTTTAGTCTGCCAACAAGCAGGCATTGTAAAATCCCACAATAAACTGGCTTGTGACAATCTGACAAAAAATAGTGGAATGTGCCAATACACTCTATGTTAGTACACTCCTTTATGGAAAATACCAAATTTATTGAATCACCATTTACTTATGTCATGTTGCCACTGGTAATTTACAGTTAATGGTGATCATATACACATTTGAAACTGCAAACACATCCTTATTTCACTTTTTGCTGTGTATTTGCCAAGAAATATTTAATGGTTTTAATAGACCTACATTTATGCAGACACACTTGCAGTCTGCACAATTTTATTTAAATCACATCTTTCTTTTGGCAGACACAGGGCTAGGTAAGGTTTTTCAATTCTCTTTTTTTTTTTTTTCTTTTTTTTTGTCCTCCAAGCCTGGGAATAGCAGATTTGGTTTTAATCAACCCCTTTGCAGTGTTGAACTTTGTCCTCCTGGAATACAGAGCCATTCATTGAAGGATTTCCCCCTGTCTAATAAACATTAATGAAGCACACTTTACAATTCCCCTGTGATCTTATCTCAGTTTCACAGATGGGGAAAACAGAAACAAATTACAGGGTCTGCATACACCACAAATCAAAGGCAGAGCTGGGGGAAGAACCCAGGAATCCCAGCACAATTCCCTGCTCCAATAACTGAGAAATGTGCTCCCATCCCTGCAGCTGCTCTGGCACAGGGCAGCTTTGTTACCTTCAGGCCTTCCAGGAAAACTAAAATTGCTCTTTTTCCTGAGGTTTAGTTCCCCACAGAACTGCAAATCCTGCGAGGTGGCAGAGGGCTTGTGGCTCTGCTGGATTATCCCTCAGGATGTCTTTATTCCCTTCTGAGCAGAGGATCTCTTTTCTTTTCTGATTAGCAGAGATCTAGCAGGATGTGGGGAATATTCCAGCCCCTGCTGGTACACCGTGGGGTTTATCCATCTTTCCCAAGAGAGAATCCTGATTTCCTGGGGAATTTTCATCTCCTAGCTCTGGCCAATGTGGTCCATTCCACGTGCCTGTGAGGAAAACCACATCTATTAATTACATCCAGCAAGGAAAGGCAGGTAATTGCCTTGAGCCTGGAATCTCTAAGTAGGGCCACTTTTCGAGCAGAACAATCCCAGAGCTGTGATTTCAGCAGAGACAGAGGAAACCAATGTTCCCTGCAAGCTGCACTCCTGTCAGACACCCAGCAGTTTTTCTGACAGCCAGGATTTTTGTGGCACTGGCTGTGAGTCATTATTGAAGAAGTGTTATTCTTAAAACAGAGGAAGAATACTGGAAAAAGGAGGTGTTAGACAGGAAAAAACCCAAACCCCTTTCACACCTCCATCTGCTGTCTTGCAGTGCCTTGCTACCAAACATTTACAAATTGACATGTTTTATTGCAAATCTTGCTCTGCTTGTTAAAAATTGCTTCTTTTTGAAGACACAATCAGACATTTAGCCTTTCTCCCCTGCCATGAATATATTTTCCTTGTGTTTAGCTCCATGGAAAACAACAATTCCTACTGTGCAGCCTTCTGCCAGGACAGCCAGGTTATTCCTAACTGCACTCCCAGGTTTCTGCTAAAAACAGGCTGCAGGAAATACAGCACTGGCAGGAACCTGCTTTAGTTTGTTCCGCAGGTGGGCAGTGTCCAGCCAGACCCAAGCTGGGAATTGCTCTGGTGGAATTAAATATTTTTGTGCTGGAGAGGGATTTGCAGTTCTGTGCTGAGAGCCCATCTCAGCACTGAGAAGCTCCTGAGCCAGGTCTGAGCGAGCCATGGCACGAAGGGTGACAGAGCTGCCACAGCAACTGCTCATCCTCTTGTTGGTGGCCTCACAGCCCTGCCCAGCTCAGCCCAGGCTGATCCATTCCCCTCCAGCTGCTCTGGAGCTGTGTCTGCACATGGACCAGACCTGCAGTGAGTCACAGTCACACTCTCAGGTCTCTGTGCCCCAGTTCTGCAAACCTTTCTGCACAAACATCATTGTAATCAGCACAAGAGACCTGGTGTACTCACTGCAGGCCTCGACTGATGTTCTTACGGCCCTGCTTTCTCTTTAAAGTTGGTCTAGGAAGTGATTTTGTTGATTGACCCCCCTCACACGTCCGCCTGCTTCACCCTTTTTAAATTTAACTCCAGTGTCAGATGTGCAGCTGTTTCCGAGGCCACATCCATGGATGATTGCTGCTCCTGCCAGGTGCAAGCCTGAATAAAAAGGTCACGGGCTGGGGAGAGGATTAAGCTTTGGCTCAGCTGTTTGCATTCTCACACAGAGCGCGGGCTGTCCATCCATCTGTCTGTCAGCCCTCACACACCATGCAGACAGGTGAGGAGCTGAATGTTGGAAACAATTCAGTGACGCTCGTACAAAGCCACTACGCCGTGTCTGTGGTTTATAAAAAGCTCCCCCAGCAATCCCCCAAGCAGCCCTTGGATCAGTGAAATGATCTGTGCAGGAACATAAATGCAGAACGGCATGGGAACAGTCTCCCTGGAGACTGGGGCAGGGCAGACTGGAGAATACCTAAATCTCTAAATGGTGTCTGAGATTTTTTCATGTTAAATTGGAACATTTCCTTCCCACGCTTACCTAAGGAGATGAAGGGAGGCAGCTTATGGGCACTTAGCACATACACTGAGAGCAAGCAGGGAAAAAATCCAGGAGGCGGGGAGCAGATCCATCCCCCTGGATCTCCACCTGAGGCATTCCACTGATTCAAGGCCTTTTGTACCTGCAGCAGTGAAAGCTCTTGGTTATTTTAAGACCTCCTCACACTTGCACTTCTGTTTCAACCCATGGGAGGCTTCCAATCTATTTCTGTATATTAGCAATCCTTCCTCTTCTGACTTCCTTATCAAATGTGCAAAACAATCAATAATCCACTTAGGCCCTCCATTCCCATTAGAGTGCACCCACAGCTGTGATTTAAATATATTTCTGTGGCTGTAGAATGAGCATATACCCTAAAGTGCCCTGGAAATGCCCTCTTACACATGACAGCATCTCCTGCCATGCAAAGTAGTTTTATTTCTCCAGCTGTTAAATCTAGGACAAAATACTACTCTTTTGTTCTATATTAAGACCATGGAATAACAGCAGCTGACTTTCCAGCCTGTGTCCTCATGAAATGGAACAGCAGGATGAAGAATTAACCCCTGGCATGAGCTTTTGTCTTGCTAAGTCATTAATAAAAGCCAGATCTCCTTGATGCTCTCCTGCATAACAGAAAACTGGAGGTTGATGAGCTGGGGGTTGCCTTCCT